GGTAAAAAACCCACAAAATATTACTCAATACCGACCCATCTCTTTGTGTCCAGTGCCCTACAAGATTGGGGATAAGATGATTACTAACCGAATGAAAGAGATTATGGATGCAGTGGTGGGAGAGGAACAAAGTGCTTTCGTCCCCGGGCGCTTGATTACTGATAATGTGGTTGTAGCCTTTGAAAGCGTCCATACTATGAGGACGCGGAAGAAGGGGAAGAATTATACTTGTGCTATCAAGTTGGATATGATGAAGGCCTATGACCGCGTCGAGTGGCATTACTTGGAGGCAATCATGCTCAAGCTTGGTTTTAGCAGATATTTTGTGAACTTGATCATGCGGTGTGTAACTTCGGTCAGATTCTCAGTGAGAGTGAATGGTGAACTACAACCATGTTTTACTCCGTCATGCGGTTTACGACAAGGGGACCCTGTTTCGCCTTTCCTCTTTCTCTTATGTGCGGAAGGCCTTACCTCGCTGCTCAATTTCCATGGTGGTCCTAATGTGGATAGAGGTATAAGAGTGTCCTTTCGATCTCCGTGGGTGAGTCATTTGCTTTTTGCCGATGATTGTCTTATTTTTATTAGTGCAACGGAAGAAAGTGCCCACAGACTGAACGAGATTTTACATATATATGCCTTGTGTTCGGGCCAGTCAGTGAATAGAGAAAAGAGTGCTATTTTCTTCTCGCCTAATACCCACACTGATAGACGGAAAGCTCTAAAGCTAGTACTGGGAATTATGGTGGAGGCGTTCAGTGGCAAATACTTGGGATTACCTACTGCGGTTGGACGTATTACAAGTGAGACGTTTGATCACATAGGTGAAAGATCACGGAGTTTTATGAACGGATGGGCAGAAAAACTGCTGGCTTGTGCGGGAAGAGAAGCGCCTATAAAATCGGTCATCCAAGCCATTCCGACGTTCAGTATGAGTTGTTTTAGACTAACAAAAAAGGTTTGCAAAAGCCTCTCTTCTAGCATGGCTAAGTTTTGGTGGAGTAGGTCTCTTGATCGCAGTTCTTTGCACTGGGTGGCATGGGACAAACTCGCATCTCCAAAAGCCCGAGGTGGCATTGGTTTTCGTGATTTGGAATTGTTCAATCTGGCGCTTTTGGGCAAACATGGATGAAGGTTTATTACAAACCTAACTCTCTATGTGCTAGGGTCATGAAAGGGCGCTATTTTCCCGATTGTGAGTTCATGGAAGCCACGGTTCCACAGTCTGCTTTCGTGATTTGGCGAGCTATTGTGTCAGGAAGGGAAGCACTCACAACTGGTTTGATCAAAAGAGTGGGTGATGGAGCCTCTATTTCTATTTGGGAGGATCGGTGGATCCCGGGTCTTTTCACTTTATCTCCGTCGGTCATACCTGGTGGCACTACTCTTGCCACGGTTGATCAACTTATTGATTCTGGAAACTGGACATGGAGGCAAGAGTTGGTTCGACAGTTTTTTACTCCACCAGAAGCCGAAGCTATTCTGAACATACCTTTGCGCCGTGGTGGTGGTGATGATTTCCTGGCTTGGGCCCATGAAAGAAGTGGTATCTACTCTGTGAAATCCGCGTACCGTGCTCTCGTGACTCGGAAAGAGCGTGTTGCTCTAGAGGAAGGGACGATGACCAATACCTCACAGACCGATGAACAGATGTGGAAACTACTATGGAAGCTCAAGGTCTTGCCAAAGGTACGTGTATTCTGATGGAGGGTTATCCGAGGTATCCTACCCGATGAATGCACTCTCCGGCACCGACATATCAAAGTCATCAGTAGATGCAATATTTGTCTTGCGATGGATGAGGATTTGATGCACGCTCTAGTGTACTGCTCTCATGCCAAGATGTTTTGGGATCAAGCTCATTCGATGTTTGGCATCCGAAGACCTCGGCTGCACCCAAATACATGGTCACGTGATATCCTTTGTGATGGGGTTTTTTCTAATAGCGAGAGGGCTATTATGATCACGGTTATGTGGTCTATTTGGCATTCAAGAAATAGGGTTACACATGATGACAAACAGCTTGACCCGGTTTCTACTGTCAAACGCATCAGGGAGGATCTTGCTCTCCTTGATATACATGAGGCTCATGCGTCCATTCTGCCTGGTCATGGCTGGGTACCGCCAGATGATGGAGTGGTGAAGATCAATACTGACGCAGCAGTGGGAATGGACAAAGATATCATGGGTGCAGGCGGTGTGGCGCGCTCAAGTACTGCATTACTTGGGGCGTGGAGTAAGCCCCATCACGGGGTTTCCGATCCGTTCATTGGTGAGACTTTGGCGCTGCGGGATGGAGTTATCTTTGCAAACTTACGCGGCTTCTCACATGTGATCATGGAAACAGATTGCCTGGAAATTGTCAATCTCTGGAAAAATAGTCACTATGGTCTTTCTGTAGTGGCACCAGTACTAGGAGAGATTAGAGAGCTAGCTTCAGTTTTTAATTTCTTTGATATTCAGCATGTAAAAAGAACAGCCAATGTACCGGCCCATCTTTGTGCAAAACATGCATGCACTCTGATGGTTACCGGAAGTTGGACTGGCTCCAAACCCTCTTTCCTGCTCACCAACTTATTAGCTGATGATGCCAGGAGTTCTTTCGTTGAATAAAGCTCTCTAATT